CGCTACTTGTTTTCACCATCACTAACAAGGCATACAGCTACGATTTGAAGGATGGAGAGCTCAGAAACCTGGGATTGTGTTACCCCAGGTTGATCCTTTACTCTAATACGCTTCGGCCATGCGGCCAGCGAGAGGAGCTGTTGTGTCCAATCTGAAGAAGACTTTTCCTTTTTCCTCTTTTTCTGCTTCTGCTATATAATAGTATCATATCCTCGGATCAACCTTTTATTGAGTAATGTGCAAAGATATATGAATGTAATTACTGAGATTTATGAGAGAGATGAAGATTTATACATCAATTAGCAAGCATCCAAAACACCATCAGAGACCCTCATGCAGAGATCTACGGATCTAAAAATGTGACCCACAGACACTGTCACTTATCCAGCTTTATCTTCTAAAATCATAATGATCGGACCCGATCTGATTCCAATTATATAACGATAGAATGAGAGATGGAATTCTCATCAAATAACTTTTACCATTCCTCTCTACAAAGAATCATCAGAGCGTTCATGGCAAAGAAGGACAAGTGGCGACAAATGCTGGCAGAGGCAATGGTTTTGTGGTGCAAGTATCTAACACAACAGTTTCTACTGCCTTGGGCGAATGGTTGGATAGATGATAAAGAACTCTGTGGTGTAAACAGCTTCAGGCAATGGTCAAACTGACAAAGCTAAGTAGTGTCTTATCAGTCTTTAATGCAGCAGACAAATCTCAGTTTTATATATGGGAATCAGACAAATCTTAGTTGCTTGTGGCTTGCCTTGAGATGCTGTCAGGCTTGAGGTACAAAGAAGCATGGGAGTCGTAATTTACAGGAGAGGAAAAGGAGAAGTCTGATCTCATCGCGTTATCTTTGCCTGCAGAAACACATTAAATATGTATACATAGACAGGAGACATCCCCTTCTCTTCCATCATATTTAAGGGATCAATGATCATTATCTCATAGTAATAAGGACTTCCGTGAATCCAATACTCTCAAAATATAAGGAAAATAGATTATTGTGAATTAGAAGGAGTAATCAAACTTATTTTTTAAATATCATGATAATTACTGTAGAATTCTGCCATGATGGTTGAGTGAATCATTGTCACTTCTTCCGGGCATGATGATTGTGTAAAATACTAATCCTAGTTCTAATTATATGTTACATGTATAACTAAAATATGAATTATAACAAAAAAAAGGATAATTTTAAAAATAAAATATATTAATTTATTAAATAAAATAATAAAAAAATTATATAATGATTTTGATACTTGTACATAATAACATCTAATAATATATATATATATATATATATATATAATATATCCAAAATTTATACACATAAAAATATTCATAAGTTATCGTCTATATTTGAGCATTAGTATAAACTCGCACGTGCTCACTTCCTGCCCAATCACTTAGATAGAGTATATGAGTAATCACTCGGTTGGTATAAACCTCTATGGTTTTATTTAGGTGAGTATATATTATATCATGTATATAATATTTCAAAACCATCGATATAAGACATTCCCATGACTTCTTTAACAAGCATAACCATGCTATATAGTATAATAAATAAGTAAAATTTTATTTTAAAATAATTTAAAATATTTATACTCACATATAAGAAACATAATATATACTTGGCCTTCAATACTCCTCCATATCATAACACACACACACACACACACATATATATATATATATATATATATATATATATATATATGCATTCTTACACTACACATTATCCTGACCTATACGTGCATCTCCACATTGCAAGTCATAATATATACATACGGTTTTAAACTATACGTCATAGTATATACATGCACTCTTATATCACACGTCATAATACATATATATATTTCTACACCATACATTATAGTATATATGTGTATCACACAGCGTAACAAATCCATGTACTCTCACACCACACTATAGCTTTCTAGTTTTATTGAAATTAAAGAACATTGTCTTGAATGATTGATATTTTGTATTTGGTGCTCAATTTAAAATATATAATTAATTAAAATAAATATTTTCCTCAAATCAGCCCAAAGTTTATTTGGAATGTTTTGAGGTCCATGAGATTTGGTAAAATGATTGAATTCTTTATAGGACATGAGGTACCATAGTGGACCAATTGATTATAGTTTTTCATCATTTCTATGATAAGTGTATGTTTCATGGTGATTGGGTTAAAACTTTTTTTAAACTTTCTTAGATCTAAGATTCCTAAACTCAGTAAGTGATTTTTAACCAATATTATTCTGCAATATAAACTATAAGATTTTTCCTAAGGTCTTAACCAATCGTATAAAAAATTTTCTTCCTCAAATTATCTCCAAAATATTATCTATAAATCTAAGGATAAAAGTGATGTTGATTAAAATTGATATTGAAAAAAATTATGATAAATTATCTTAGAAAGCGTTCAGCCATGTTTTAGAACTCTTTCCTCAATTTTCTCAACTTATTTATCTCTTAGATTCAAACTTGTATATCATGGATTAATATGTTTGTATCATTAATGATTTTAGACATAAGAGAGGTATTAAACAAGGGGAACCTTTTTCCATTATATTTATATCGTTGTTGTCCGAATCGTAACTTAAATGATAAATCATGTTCGTAGGATGATGGACAATTATCTCTCATCAATTTGAAGCATAAATTTAATATTTATCATCTTACCTATGCTAATGATATTCTTCTCTTTTAGACCTACCAAGAAATTTTTTGGAACTAAATTTGAGACATTCCAAAGGTATGAGAATCTCAAAATATTAAGATATAATGTTAATAAATCTAATTTTTTTTCTAGATTTATTAGAAAAACTATAAGAGATGAAATGTAGAGACAATTAAATATTAAAGAAGGAAATTTTTCTCGTATATACAAGGAGCATGATTGCTCCCCATAAAATGCCTATTGCTGATTTTGATTGCAAAATTTAACAAATTCAATAATAACTCATAATTGGAAGGATAATTGTCTATTCCAAGTTGGTAGGGCCTCTTTAATAAATTATATCTTTCTAGCTATTATTGTTCATTTTCGTCTATGACTTGGATGCCTAAAGTATTTTTTTAATCAGGTTGAGAGAAATGTCAGACAATTTTTATGTCAAAAAGATTGTAACTCTATATGGATGACTTTTATACAATAATTTTTGGTTTCCTAAATAATGTTTGAGAAAATATGCTAGACGTTCGTCGTAACCAAATGAAAATAGAATTACGTGATCATTATTATTTGGCTTGTCCTTACGAATGAGGAAAAGATGATAATTGAGAATCTATTATCAGCTAACATATGATTACCATATGAGATCCAAGTCACCATTATCTATGTGAGGAAGATTCAAAGCAGGAAAATAAAAATCTCCTTGTTTATCATGATAAAGAAGACAATCGCAAGCTTCATTCTTATCTAAGGTATAAAAAAATACTTTAAACCCAACACAAGGAATTTCTTTTAAACTACATGAACCCACATTTGGGGACCTCATACTCATTAGATAATCAGGTCAGGAAACTCCTCTCGACCTTAATCTTTGTGTAGGTGATACCTCGAGAGCATAGTATTTTCATCTCCAGATGATGATATTTTCATTACAGGAGCACGATATTTCAACCTAAGAGAAATCTTGAATATTTCTACGAACATGGGTTGGGATCATATCAGGTTAGTTAACTAAGACGTCAATGATATTTTTCTCTAGCAGATAGTTTAATTAATATTAAAATAAATACTGATATTAGAGGGATAGAAAGAGAACTAAGAAATAAAGTAAAAGAATCTAAATGATATATATTGGATAAAGCCTAAGCTTCTTAGTTGAGTTGGTATCCCGTCTAATGCATGTTAATCCTAATCAGTTTCACGTAAAC